ATACCCCCCCGTACGCGAGCCTCACGCGGCAACGCCAACTTCGCCCCCACCTCGCCGACGAAGACGAGGACGAGGGGGAGGAAGAAAGGGGGGGGGATGACGGGCTCCCGGCGGTGAAGCGATCCCGCGTGCAGGGGTGTCGTTTGCCGGCGGGGTTGCCACCACGTCTGCGGGCGCTTTGCCGTCGCGCGCTTTCCTTTTCTCGCCACGGCCTCCATCTGGACGATGCGGAGGCGGAGGCAGGGGAGGGGGAGGGGGGGGGGCCCTACGGCAACGACGAGGATAGCGGATCGGATTACTTCGCGAGAACCCCCCTGGCGCGCAGACCCCTCACGCTGGAGACGTTTTGTGAGCAGCTGTCGGAGATAAAAGCATCTCCAGATTTGTATTTTTCCGATTTCCACACCCACGACCCCATTTACGGTAGCAATGAAAACAGCCCGACGTTTCAGGTGGAAATGAACCCAATTGCCGCAAAGGTCCCGCTGAGTGCCGGGGCTTTGGATGACTACGGCGAAGAATGATGTCATATGGCTCTCAATCCCGATTTGAAAATAAAACGGGCGGGGTGGGAACAAAGGAGGCGGAAAAGGTTGTGTGGTTTTTTCCCCATTAACTTTATCTTTCCTCTAATAAAGTGACCTTATTCGGTGATATCTTCTTATTGTTTACATATATATATATATATATATATATATATATTCATGACTGCATCGTTTTTTTCTTTATGTGTTTAGTCGAATTCTGTCCGCAGATATTGGCTACGTTGCATTTTCTAGCAAATTGTTTCATTTTTATTATTCCTCTTCTTCAGACAAGGCACACGATTCTCGATTTTACGGAAGGAGCATGGATAAAGAGAAAATCCTTGCTTGGGACAGTTTATTTTCTTTCCTTTGAATCTTTTTGGACTCTTACTTTCAAGGTAGGGCACTTTACTCCCTCCCCTTAATCTACACATTCGAAACTCGTTCTTTGTCTTTGTTGAATTCTTTCCTCTATCAGGTGTATGCGGGTTTACCATATCTATATAAGATTTCCTATACACCACGCAATATTTTCTTTATTAGATCTACCTTTCAATTAATACTAGAATAGCTGAAACTTTTACACCTACATACATATTTAGACTGATACACTTTATCTCAAAAGCGTTTGTATATTCCATTGTTTCCCTTCCTTTAAGTGTGCCTTTGGTAAGCTTCCTTTTTCTGTTTGCGTGCACACACAGAAGACTCGGCAGGGTGTGACGAAAATAGTATATTTATATACAAACTAGCAACCGAGTCTTCCTATCTTCCTACCGGGTGCGGGCTTTTTTTTTCCTACATCCCGAATACTCATGCCTCTTTAATGCCTCGTTCCACTAGATTTGCCATCCGCAAGGTGCGCGATCGACCCCATGTTGGCGGATCTCCTCCAAGTGAAACCGCTCAATTGCAAGACCCTCACGCACCCCCCCCTCCCCCCGATCCACAACTCGAAACGGAGCCGTGGGAGGCGAACTCCGATCCCTCCGTGAGCCTCAGCAGCAGCAGCAGCGATCGCGATCCACGAACGAGAAGCACAACGCAAAGCCAAGGAAGGGAGAACGACGGCGGCTCGTTGAGGGGCTCCTCGAGCGTTTCCCCGCGATTCGCCTCGTCGTCGACTCTCCCTCCTTCTCCTTCGCCGCCTCTTTTTTCCGTTTCTTTTTCGTCTTCGCTTCCTCTCGATGAGGGAAGAGGGCGGGGTGGGGTCGCCCTCTCCCACCTCACGCGGCTGCGAGGGGAGGTCGCGGCGGTGCGGCGGGGGGTGGCGACGCTCCGCGGGCGAACGGAGCGGCTCCTCGCGGGGTTCGACACCGCCCTCCGCGAGGCTCTCGAGGAGGTGAAACGCCACACCACCCTCAACGATAATAGCAAAAATCAAAACCAAAACGATGGCAACGACGATGATCCAGACAACTCCCGCGGGGAGGGGTGGTTTGATAAGATCTGCCCGTATCGCGTCGCGACGACGGCATCCGAGGAGGCCGCGTGGGGATCGGCGGTCGACCTCGCGGAGCCTCGCTGGGTTCGCCGGCGGCTCGCCGACGCCGCGTTTCAAATCGCGTTGCTGAAAAACGCCCTTCGCGAGGCGCGCGACGACGCCGGGCGTCGGATACGGCATCTCAAAGACGCCTTCGCGGAGCGGGAGCTCGCGCTGCGAGAGGAGATTCAGCGACTACGGGAGGAGAGGGGATTGGGGGATGACGAAGAGGCCCGTGAGGGGGGTCGGCGGTGCTCCTGGGCGAAAAATCCGCACGTGCGGGGTTGGGATTCCCCCTCTCACAACTCAAGAAGGTGAGCGGTAAGAGGGGGGGGGTTTCTCCGTAAAGCGCATGGTGCGGGAAAAGGGGTGAAAATGGGGTGATCACGCCCGATGAATTGGGTGTGTGTATGTTTGTATGTAGGGGGGAGGGGATTCCTTTCTCGAAAATAGCGCACAGAACTTACAGAAAGAGCATCCCTGAACTCAAGGGGGGAGTTACTGTGAAGGTTTATAGAAAGAAATAGTTGAGTACCCTAATGGTTAGAAAAAGGGAAAAGAAAGAAACACGCGATATGTTTTAACCTATTTCGCTGTCGTACTTGAATTTTTGCGATTGTAAAGCGACGTGAGGATCACGAAACCCGCCAGAGACTTTCGATTCTTGCACCCTTCCCTGTATGCTCACATTCCTTTGGCAATTTCAAAAAGAAGAGCTCCCTTGCTTGTTGTTCGTGGTAGTCATATGGCTTAACCAAAATGTTTGATAACTTTATCAGTTTATCCTCTCCTTTATTCGTTTTTTGTGTACATTTAATGCAAAAGAAGGCAGAATACGGATATTCACACCAAAATTTTTTTCGGTTTCAACCCTTACTTCTTCTTTTTTCTTTCCTTTCCGTCTCGGTGAAGACATGAAGTGTGCTGCGAGGATGCGAGTGCCGCTATCTCGATGGAGACCCTCCTCCTTCCGATCCGTTACCTGTCCTGCGGCTCTGGCGCCCTCATCGTGCGTTTTCTTCTCTGCGGCGACATTCTGCTCTCATGGGAGCTGCCCGCTACGACGCTACGCCACCTCCTCCGACTCTACAGAGAAACCCAAAGCTAACAAGGTCCTTTCCAAAAAAGGCATGAACGGATTCACGGATGTTAACTACAATAGGGCCGCCGATGACTTCCTGGAGCGTATCGAGGTCGTGCTAGATGAGCTCGTCAATGATAACATACGAGATATCAATCTAAGCGATGGCGTGCTCACCATTGAAACGACACAGGGGACCTTTTTGTTTAACAAACAGGCGCCGAACCTGCAGTTGTGGTTATCCTCCCCGATCTCCGGTCCACACCACTACGACATGGTCGAGGGTGCACAAACTACTTCACCTCAAGGCGAAGGGGCGAGCAGGGTGAGGTGGGTTTGTGAGTGTGACGGGCACGACTTGAAGGAAAAGGTCCAGGAGGAGTTTTCGGAGGTGCTTGGCATAAAACTGGTCCTTTAAGGCGCCTTTATCCATCCCTACCTGTCTGTATATATATAAAGACATATATATATATATATATATATATATATATATGTGTGGTTTTATGCGTTCCTTTACTTAGTTTAAGGGAAGAAAAACCTTAAGGAGGAAGCGGTGAACTCCTGACAACTGATTTAGCTGGTGTTCCCCTTTTCAAAGCATTTCTTCCCGTAAAAGAAAAATGGGGGAAAACGATAGTTAACGATCCTAATATTGTTCCAGTATGCGAGTCTCCGTTTACTACAATATACCATCACCTGTGAGAAGGCCAGAATTCTTTTTGCTTCCTCACCTGATCAGAAGTCGATTTTGAACGAAGCATAACTATATTATTGGAAATAGTTTTTGCTTTGCCATTTTTATTACACGATCACTTTATTTACTTCCTTATTAGTTACGCTCATTAATATATTTGCATGCAAAAACCCATAATGTGTGAGAAAGTTAAATGATAAACTATTGGATACATTAGTTTTGTGTTGGCTATTTTCGGATGTCGCGGTTTACGATGGTTTCGGTATTCGGACTATCTTTATGATGTCTTCTTTTGAAGAGAGCAGCGACCATTGTGTTCCTATCATTGCCAACTGGTGCTCGTTATAATTTTTGAAGATATACATTTGTATATTTAAACATATATACTTAAATATATTAGCCAAAATCGACCTAAAAGGAAAAGCGACCATGTCCGCCCCTCGGTTCCTCAACGCCATCGAAGAGGAGGCACGTGATTCCATCCCGTTCGAAACTCACGACGGCGACGAAATCGACAGCGGGGCCTCCAGCCGGAGCTCCATCCAACTCGAGGTGCACAGCCGCGAGGGAACGCCCACTCGACGAAGCGAGGCAATGCCGGTGGCGCGGCGATTCGTGCCGACGCCGGCAGGAGGAGGGGCCGCCCCGTTGCCCGGAACCCGCGCGCAAACGAAATCGCGAAGTCTGGAACCCCGCTTGAGGTCTCGTGGGGAATCCCAGGTGGGATTCCGTGAGGAGCCGCCCGTGAAGCCCGTCCAGAAAAGCCCCTCGCGGAGTGTGGAAGGGCTTGTGAAGTCCCAGGAGGGGTCTCAGGCGGGGTCTGAGGTGGGATTCCATGAGGAGCCGCCCGTGAAGCCCGTCCGGAAGAGCCTCTCGCGGAGTGTGGAGCCTTTGGGGAAATCCCGTGGGGCCTCCCACGTTGGGCCTTCGGGGGATCGCCGCGCCTCGCCGTCGCCGCGGGCGGGGTCGTCGAGGCGGGCCGCCGGGACGCCGTCGGGGGCCTCGCGCGGGGTGCTGCGGGTTCGCTTCACCG